TCTGTCATTTCGGCCAACTCAGCCTGGTTAAGAACCCTTGTTGGAAAACTAGTGCAATCATTTGGAGGACATAAGACACTCTGGCCATTTGAGTTGCCAGAGTTCTTACATTGGTTATTTCTTGTCTCTGCATGTAAGTGTTCCTTTAACTGTGGTGTAGATTGAGTACAGTAAATTGACCTTTATTCTGGATGTTTTCACAGGGCTGGGGCTTTGTGTAGGGTCATTATTTGTAGCTGACTTGTCTTTGGTTTTACAGAGGGGTATGTTAGTGAGATATTTTTGGTGCTAAATCTTTGGGGTGTGATCCAGTAGGTGGCCCTTAGGTGTAGTAGTCAGTTGGTAGGCTCTTGCTCAGTCCTGTGGCTCCCCTATATTTCCTCACAGTTGCAGCTGTGCTCCCTCTCAATTCTCTGAAAGTGTGGCCTCCCCTCTCACTTGAACGCTGCCTGTAGATTGTGGCTTGGCACTTCCAGGCTTCCCTGCAGCTCTGGGGTGTTCTCAGGGTTTATGTTTCCTCCCTAACTTGGAGGTATCAGAGGAATGAACTTTAGCAGTGGTTGTGTTTGAAAGTTTTCCGCTTGTCTCCTGGGGGCCCTACCCCAGAGAGATACAGGTCAGCAATCACTCAGTGTAATCAGCCCTGAATGGGGGCCATGGGCCCAAGCTGAGAGTTCCCTGTTGGGTGATAAGTGAGGGGAGGGAGGTGAGGCGTAAGTGGAACCCATGGGAGATGGACTGGCCTCCTTTCCTTGGGTGGACTGCTGCTTATTGGAAGTATGGATAAGGTACTCTTAAGGTCTTTGTTCCTTCTTCAGTCTCAGGGTAGCAAGGGCAGCTGAAACTAACCCAGAAATGACACAGATATTATAGTACAGAAGCACATTAAAACAGTTATAATTATATTCTATATGTACAAAAAATGAGTAAAGACAAGATATAAAAAGAGACCAAAAACAAACTTCTATAGATGAAACCTACAATGTCTGATGTGAAAACATACACTGGATGAGATTTATTGCAGATTAGAAAGAATTGAACAGCAATGCCAACCAACTTGACCTAATTGGCAGTTATAGATAGAACATTCCACTCAACAAAACAGAATATGTATTCCTTTCAAGTGTACATAGAACATTCACCAAGATAGGTCCTATTCTGGTCCTTAAAGTAAATCTCAATAAATTCAAAAGTATCAAGTCATACAAAATTTTCTGACCATATGCTATTAAATTAGAAACCAATAACAGAAAGACCCCTAGAAAATTCCCAACTATTTGGGAACCACATAACATGCCTGTAATGTTACTATAATCTTGAAGTGCAGGAAGGTCCTCAGCTCTAATCTACAGCACAAATGTACATTGGGTAACTGGCATAGAATAAAGAAAAACTTGGTTTTCCAGTGTCAAGGAAATACAGATAATCACGTAAGAGTTAAGTTTAGGGTGAAAGTGGAGTAGTGTTTTGGGGCAAACGATCAGCCTATTTGCAGGGATCTGTGTGGACCTATTCCCCTCATTCCTAGTTTCCCAGCCACTTGGTTCCTCAGAGGTAGACTCTTAAGAGATGCTAGAAACTTTTCAAAATTTTAATGAGCCTACAGGGGGCCAATTAGTCCCACCTCCTCACCTGCCTCCTAAACTTTAATCAGTGAACACATCCTCCTCCCTAGTGGTGAGCTGCTGGGCTGCCAGGGGAAAAGACGGCTCTGGGGTGACTCCTGCCAGCACAAGATCATTTTTGAGGAGCTTGCAGAGAGTGGGGCTGCCTCATACCTATCACAACGTGAAAAGCTAAACTCAGTGGCAGGCTCTGATGCCCAGTCTATGAACACAATGAGTCTGGCTTTGTCTTTGTTGTTTTTCTGTGGAAGGCTTGTGTTCTGACACTCAGAGCAACAGCTCTGACGTTAAGCCAGGCGCTTTGCTGGAATTCAATGGTTTACTTAAGGACGTCTGAAGCAACTTTGGAGGAGGAAACACTCTGGTGTTAGATTATTATCAGGTAGTAACCCAGATTTCTGGAAATTGTTAACCACAGATATGTCTTCTGGAGGGAAGAGCATATCCAGGATGACCATTCTACCCACAGGCTGATTTCCCAGGACACAGACAAGTCTAACAAGCTAGGAATAGATATTTACATGTGGCTTAGGAAGATCTGTCTGCTCCTGAAAGTACCCCATGGTTTAATACTTTGGGGGCAAGCTATAGACCTACTGGATTAAATTTTCCGTGGGTTGGGATCTGGAATCTGCACATATAACCTTGGGCAAGGCAGCGTACTGTTTAAGAACCATTGTTTTGGATCACTATTGCTCAAGGAATCTCACTGGCTGCTTTCCTTGGCTGCCTGCCCTTCATATCCACATGTGTTCTTACTGTGCTATCCCAGGGAGTAGGCAACAAGTCAGATATTAACAGAGCTTCTTCCCTACACCTCCCTCATCCACAGGCTCCAGGCATTTGCTCTCACTCTTATGCACTTCACTCTATAATCCATTCCAATTTTATAAGATCATCTTTAAGTTTTCCTCCCACATTTCATTCACAGGTACAAACTATAGACAACAGGAATAGTGGTGATTCCAGCATCCTTTAAACAACTGTCAGAAATGCCAGTTACTCCATAATCCTTTCCTTGAGTCACTCTATATTCTGAATAATTTTGAACTTAGTGCAGATTGGCGAAGAGAGATGAGAGGAAAGGGGAGGAGGAGGAGAGAGAGTGGGTTTAAAGCAAGTGATAAATCTGAAGGCTCTGATCAGCTATCCACTGTATTACCCACCACACTACCCCATCCCATCCCATCACTCTACCCCAGTGTAGACCCCCTGCCTCATCCACACTGTCCTGAGCATTGCTCACCTTCCTACTTTTCTCTTCTTTTTCCCTTTCTTTTTTTGGAGACAGACTCTTGCTTTGTTGCCAGGCAACAGGCTGGAGTGCAGTGGCACAATCTCGGTTCACTGCGACCTTCACCTCCCAAGTTCAAGCAATTCTCCTGCCTCAGCCTCCCGAGTAGCTGGAACTACAGGCGCACACCACCACGCCCAGCTAATTTTTGTATTTTTAGTAGAGATGGGTTTCACTGTGTTGGCCAGGATGGTCTCAATCTCTTGACTTTGTGATCTGCCCGCCTCGGCCTCCCAAAGTGCTGGGATTACAGGTGTGAGCCACCACGCCCGGCCTTGTTTATTCTTTTAATCAGAGAGATACTTGCAGATCTGTTACCTAAACTGAAACAATCCATCAAGAAAAGAAGATGAAAAGCTGTGTTTCAAAATTCTACTCCACTCTTAATGACCATCTTTCTATTTTCTTGAAGTTCCTGCAAGTTATTTCCACTCTGGGAGTTTTATAGTCATTTATCTGAAGTCCTCTAATTTGTCTCGAAGTTGAATTGGCCTTTGTCACCAATGGCACCAAAGACATTTGCAACCCAAATCTAGGACTGCCCACATTCTGCAATAGAGGGATTTATTATAAAATGGCAGCTATTAGATTAAGGATAGCCGAATGTTACATCTTCATGATATGAAATAAGCCACAAAATTGCATTCCATGTGCTTTAAAAGCAGTTGCTAATGTTCTCTGTTCAAATTTGGACTTACATTTTGTGTCTCAATTTTAGTAGGGCATGTTACCTCTTTGGGCATTTCTAAAAGCATTTTTCTTGTCACTATTCAAAGTATTCTATCAACACAAATAGTGACTCCATTCCCTGCCTGGAAACTACATTTGTTTGTCCAGAATCTTCTCCTGCCCAGGTAGTTTGATGATTCTGGAAATTATGCGATTGGAATTAGTCAGAATCTTTGCCTGCTCAACCCAGCTCTTTCCTGTCCCAAATTCTCCCAACACTTTTCACAGGTGTGTTATTCACTTACTCTCATCAGGGCAGGAGGAGGCAGCTCACTTTTGCCCTTTTTTGTCCTACTCAGTCGCATCTGCTGGCTTCAAAGTCTTTGTAACTGAGAGTCCTCCCCAAAGAGCACAGGGTGCTTAACTGGTTCAGCACCCAGAGGTAACTACTTGGGAAGACATGGTAGAGGAGCCAGTGGGGCAGAGAAGAGTGTGGCATTTAGGTGATGCATTCACAGCCTTGTTCTCTCTCTAAATAGAAAAGGCATTTTCACAAAGCCTCACTCTTGGAGAAACTTTGTTCCTTCCTTGCTGGCTGCAACAGCTCCTGAGTCCAGCATGATTTTGTTTTCTGGAAAAGATAGGCAGCTTTGTGAACGATGAGGGGTACTCTCCCGTTGGTGGAGGCTCCTCCATGCAGTCTTACACCACCTCCATCTCTCCACACTCTCAGCCCTTGTTTCCTTAAGTACCCACAGTACTGCCTGGCTAGTGCTGATTTTACAGGGCCAGCTGAGCCAATGAGCCATTGACAGCCTCTCTAAAGTCCTGTTTAGTCATGCTTGCTTAGCATGTGCGTGTCTGTCTATACTGTTAGGTGGTAAGTTGCTTGCTAAGCTTTGTTGTGGATTCATCTCATTTATCATGTGTATTTAGGTTTTGGGTCTATTTTCTTAGTGAGAATGCTCATAGTTAACCTTATTTGAACTTCCTCAATGTGCTGGAATTTGTTCAAGTTCTCTGCATGAAATAACTCATTGAATTTTATAATAATCTTTAGAGACAGGTGCTATCCCTATTTCACAGATGGAAAATGGAAACTCAGAAAGGTAAAGTAACATTCCCAAGATTATACAACTTGTTAATGGTAAAGTCCCAACTTTGAACCTTGGTAGTCTGACAGTATTTATGGCTTAAACACAAAACATACTGTCTCTAGAATATAAGCTTCCCGAGGTCAGGCACTCTTGAATTTCTGATAGGGAGAACACAGAGCTAAGCATATGGAAAACTATGAGTTTATACTTGGTGAGTGACTGTTTCATTACTTAGAATTTTTAAGATCTCCCAAGACCAAATTGTGGATATTTCTCTTAAATTTTCCATTGCTGCTCAAATAATACTTACCAACTAACCAACCAACCAAGGAGAGAAGACCATCTCTATGACAGAGTTTCATCTACAAAGCCAAATGCCCTCAATAAGACTCATCTTTGGAAGGCTGTCCTTAGGCAGAGTTAAATTCAGTCACAGCCCCAGGTAGTTCAACCTCATTCATGGTGGTGTCTTCTTTCTCCACCCCAGAGCACTGGAGAAGCATGGAAAGGGGAAACCTGAGCCAAGGGATTGAGTTTGAGCTCTTGGGTCTCACCACCGACCCCCGGCTCCAGAGGCTGCCCTTCGTGGTGTTCCTGGGCATGTACACCACCACTCTGCGGGGGAACCTGGTCATGTTCCTCCTGATCCATGTGAGTGCCACCTTACACACACCCATGTACTCCCTCCTGAAGAGCCTCTCCTTCTTGGATTTCTGCTACTTCTCCACGGTTGTGCCCCAGATGCTGGTGAACTTCTTGGCAAAGAAGAAAGTGATCTACTTTGGCTGCATGACTCAGATGTTCTTCTATGCAGGTTTTGCCACCAGTGAGTGCTATCTCATTGCTGCCATGGCCTGTGACCGCTATGTCGCTATTTGTAACCCCTTGTTCTACACAGCCATCATATCTCCTGGGGTCTGTGCCTCGCTGATTATGGGCTCCTACAGTGCAGGATTCCTCAATTCTCTTATCCACACTAGCTGTATCTTTAGTCTGAAATTCTGCAGTGCTCATGTGGTCACTCACTTCTTCTGTGATGGACCACCCATCCTATCTCTGTCTTGTGTGGACAGCTTACTGTGTGAGATCCTGCTCTTCATTTTTGCTGGTTTCAACCTTTTGAGCTGCACCCTCACCATCTTGATCTCCTACTTCTTAATTCTCAACACCATCCTGAGAATGAGCTCAGCCCAGGGCAAGTTTAAGGCATTTTCCACCTGTGCATCCCACCTCACTGCCGTCTGCCTCTTCTTTGGCACAACACTTTTTATGTACCTGCGCCCCAGGTCCAGCTACTCCCTGACCCAGGACCGCACAGTTGCTGTGATCTACACAGTGGTGATCCCAATGCTAAACCCCCTCATCTACTCTTTGAGAAACAAGGATGTGAAGGAAGCTTTAAGAAAGATTTGGGGTAGGAAAACAATGGAATAATTTCTCAATGCATTACCACATATCTTTAGAAAGCCAAGGGAACTTTTATCTTGGGTGGTGTCACCCTGAGCACATTCCCATGCCCACCCCTGTGAACAGTGGGCATGCCCTCTGGGCTGCAGGTGCTTCTGCATCTACCTGCCACAGAAGAGCCAATGGTGTCCTAGAGACTAAGTAGCAAGAATGGTGTGTCTGCTTGTTGTATAATTGAACCTGTTGGCAAGACTTAGTTATCCATGCTGAGATGCTTCATTCATTTTTCCAAGTTTGAGTATTTTCCTTCCTTCCTTCCTTCCTTCCTTCCTTCCTTCCTCCCTCCCTCCCTCCCTCCCTCCCTCCCAGCCTCACTGTCCCCAACCCCTCTTTCTCTCTTTCTTTCTTTTCTTTCTTCTCACTCTGTCACCAAGGCTGGAGCACAGTGGCATGAACATGGCTCAGAGCAGTCTCAACCTCCTGGCCTCAAGCGATCCTCCTGCCTCAGTTTCCTGAGTATCTGGGACTACAGGTGGATGCCACCACACCTGGCTAAATTCTTGATAGGGAGAACAGGAAGCTAAGCATGTGGAAAACTATGAATATATACTTGGTGAGTGACTGTTTCATTACTTAGAATTTTTAAGATCCCCCAAGACCAAACTGTGGATATTTCTTAAATTTTTCATTGCTGCTGAAGTAATGCTTGCCAACTAACCAACCAGCCAACCAAGGAGAGAAGACAGTCTCTATGACAGGGTTTCATCTACAAAGCCAAACGCTCTCAATAAGACTCATCTTCAGAAGGCTGTTTTTAATTTTTGTAGAGACGGGGTCTTGCTATGTTGCCCAGGCCGGTCTTGCACTCCCTGAGCTCAAGTGATTCTCCCACCTTGGCCTCTCAAAGTGCTGGGATTACAGGCATGAGCCACCATGCCGGCCTGTCATTCTTCTTTTTAAATGTAGGCATTTAAGACAAATTTTTCAAATTCCATTTAACCTGCATCCTACATTTTCAAATATAGTGGTTTTAGTATTAAGTTCTATGTATATTCTAATTTTTGTTATCATTTATTCTTTAATCCATGAGTGGATTTTTTTTCAATGTCCTAATATCTGGGGCATTTATGAAAAATCTACACCCAACATTACACTTACTAGTGAAATAATTGCTTTCCCCTTAAGATCTGAAACAAGGCAGGCTATATGCTATTGCCATCTCTATTTCACATGTTCTGAAGGCTGTAGCAAGTACATTGAAACAAACAAACAAACCAAGCCTCTAGATTGGTAAGGGAGAAGAAAAATTGTCTTTGTTTGTAGATAATATAATCCTGAATATAGAACATTCCAAGTAATCTATTAAAAAACTCCACTAGGCCAGGCACAGTGGCTCACGCCTGTATTCACAGAACTTCGGGAGGTTGAGGTGGGCAGCCCACAAGGTCAGGAGATTGAGACCATCCTGGCCAGCATGGTGAAACCCCGTCTCTACTAAAAATACAAAAATTAGCTGGGCTTCATGGTATGAGCCTGTAGTCCCAGCTATTCAGGGAGGCTGAGGCAGGAGAATCACTTGAACCCAGGAGGTGGAGGTTGCAGTGAGCTGAGATCATGCCATTGCACTCCAGCCTGGTGATAGAGTGAGAATTGGTATCAAAAAAACAAAAGCAAAAAACAAAACAAAACAAAATCCACTAGAACTAATAACAAAGTTCAGTAAAATTACAGAATACAAAAACAATATAGAAAAATTAGTTATATTTTTATATATTGGCAAGACATAATAAAAAAATGAAAGAAAACAATTCTTTAACAATAGTGTTCACAAAAATTAAATACTTAGGAAAGGTTTGACAAAATAAACTCAAGACTCATATACTGGAAATCATAAAACATTACTGAGAAAAGTTAGAGAAGATCTAAATAAATGGAAAGACATTCAATGTTCATGGACTGGAATAATCAATATCATTAACATGGCAATATCAAACTGTTCTATAGATTCAATATAATCCTTAGGAAAATCCTCCCCAAATTGATTTTTTTTTATTGCATTTTAGGTTTTGGGGTACATGTGAAGAACATGCAAGATTGTTGCATAGGTACACACATGGCAGTGTGATTTGCTGCCTTCCCTTCACCTATATCTGGCTTTTCTCCCCATGCTATCTCTCCTCCTTTCCCCACCCCCCCGTCCCTCCCCCATTTCCCCCCAACAGTAGTGCTCCCCTCCCTGTGTCCATGTGTTCTCATTGTTGAACACCAGCCTATGAGTGAGAACATGCGGTGTTTGATTTTCTGCTCTTGTGTTAGTTTACTGAGAATGATGGTTTCCAGGTTCATCCATGTCCCTACAAAGGACATGAACTCATCATTTTTTATGGCTGCATAGTATTCCATGGTGTATATGTACCACATTTTCCCTGTCCAGTCTATCACTGATGGGCATTTGGGTTGGTTCCAGTTCTTTGCTATTGAAACAGTGCTGCAATGAACATTCGTGTGCATGTGTCCTTATAGTAGAACGATTTATAATCCTTTGGATATATACCCAGTAATGGGATTGCTGGGTCAAATGGAATTTCTATTTCTAGGTCCTTAAGGAATCGCCACACTGTCTTCCACAATGGTTGAACATGAAAAGAAGTTTAACATCATAAGGAGATGCAAACTGAAATGCAAGTTAAATTATAATGCAACAAGATAACAAAAAACCCAAAAATTGGTAAAATGAACAAGATTGACTATAGCAAATGTTGGTGAGGATGTGAAGCAACTGAACTCTAATACACTGCTGGTGGGAATGGGAAATGGTAAAACCACATTGAAAATCAGTTTGGTGGTTTCACAAAATGTTCAATAGATACCTACCATATAAAACAACTATTCCATTCATTATATTCTACTAAGAGAAATAAAAGCATATGATATATATGTTTTATGATACATGCTTTTATTTCTCTTGGGATATAATGAATGGAATAGTTGTTTCATATGGTAGACTATACAAAAGACTTGTGTACAAATGTTCTTAGTAGCTCTATTTGGAATACTCCAAAACTAGAAATAACCCAAATGCCCATTAACGGGTAAATGAGGGGAAACCCCCCCGGTCCGTACAAGGCAATACTACTCAGCAATAAAAGGAATGAATTATTATTTACATGTTACAACACAGAATAATCTCAAAATATGCCAAATAAAACAGACAAAATGTATTTATTGTACCATTCCATCTATAAAATTCTAGAAGATGCAAAATAATCTGTAACGACAGAACAACAACAGGTCAGGGGATGCTGATGGAACTGGGAGACCCACATGAAGGGAAGAAGAGAAGGTTACAAAAGGACGTGAGAGAACTGTAGGGGATGACAAACATTATTATCATGATAGTGGTGGTGGATTCATGGATATACACATGTCAAAACTTAACCAAGTTTTACACTATAAATATGTGTGTTTATTGCATGGCAATTATACATCCATCCAGATGTTAAAATAGGGCCACCAACTCTTTTCTATTTCTCTTAGTAAGAGATGGATTTTAATTCTCTTTCCCCTAAGTCCGGGTGGCCTTAGTGTCTGGTTTGACCATTAGAATGCAGCAGATACTGGGACTAATGAGCTTAGATCATAAGAGGCCTTGCATCTTTGGCACAGCTATATGGGAACAATCTCTGGGATCCCTGAGCTGCCACATAAGAAGTCTGGCTACCTTGAAGCTGTGACACTAGAGAAGCCATGTATAGATACTCCAGTTGAAGCTTCCAGCTGAGCCCAGCCTTCTCCATCAAAGGGCTAGAAGTGTGAGTGACCAGCTTAGACCAGCCCAGATGCCAGCTCAATACCAACACAGAATAACCACTGTTACACCCCAATTGAACCCTGTTTGGATTCCTGACCTCTGAAACTGTGAGATGTATTATCATAAAATACCTGTTGTTTAAAGCCATTGGAAAGTTTTGGAGCAGTTTTTTACGCAGCAGTAGATAAGAAGAAATGAACTTGTCACTTGGAAGTTGGGAGTTCTTTTATAACAAAATCATGTGGCATTGACATTGGTAATGGGCAGTTGGCAGAAGCTGGAAGGGCCATGAAGAAACGGATAGTAAAAGCTTGAAGGACAATGAAGAGAATGTTATTGGAGCTGGAGAAGATATGACACATTACAGGGTGAAAAGAAGTTTTGTGAAACTGTTAATTTTGGTAAGAGCAAAAATAGAATGTTCCTAATGAACTGGTAGATCTGACAAAGAAGATTTTCAAGCAGAATGTTGAAGATGCCAAGTGGTTTATTTGGCTGCCTAGATTAAGAGATACAGCTACATTAGATACACACTTGAGATATGGCTACACTAGAGATATGGCTAAAAAAAGATGAATTAAAAAAGAAACTGTTCAGCATGCAAAATTTAGAAGGAATATAAAGTAGCCAGGGCTTGTTAGTATTACAACTAAAACTGGGCCAGGTGTGAAGGTTCACGCCTCTAATCTCAACACTTTGGAAGGCTGAGGTCAGAGGATTGCTTGAGGCCAGGAGTTCAAGACAAGCCTGAGCAACATAGTGAGACCCCATTTCTACCAAAAAATTTTTTAATTAAAAAAAAATCCCCAGTTTCTCCTTCCCATCTTTTTCAGATGGCAAAATGTTCTCAAACTAAAAACAAAAACAGGCAAAAATAAAGACCTCAGAGTAAAGATAATCTTAATAATCTATTGCTGAGAGACCCTTCATTAAGACTTTAATCAATTCCTTATAGACTCTTTCAACTAGAAAAAAAAAAAAAAAAAGACTTTAGCCAGGCATGGTGGCTCACGCCTGTAACCCAAGCACTTTGGAGGCCAAGGCAGGTGGATCACCTGAGGCCAGGAGTTCAAGACCAGCCTAACTAACATGGTGAAACCCCGTCTTTATTTAAGAAAAAAGAAAAAGAAAAAGACTAAAGAATCTTAAGGACACCCTGCAGCCTCCTCACCCACAGTCCAAGCTAAGAATGGCCTGTCTAGAAGAGATTGGTGAGCATGGCTTTTGACTAGTAGAATGAACCCAAACAAGTTTCCTACCAACCCCATCAAGTTTTTAGAAA